AGCCAGTGCTGTGGAGAGTGCTCTCTCAGCATGCATGAAGCTGATGCAGTCCTCAAGATGTCAACATGGTGTAAGTCTGTAGTTCCAGCCTTGGCTACATGTGACCAGTTTCAGAGAGGCAGAGGGAGAGAAAGTAGCAATGGACCCCCCACATTTTAGGAGAACTGTTGCTGGAGGGCTTCTCTCCAGGTTCCACCAAGCCCTGCAGTCCCACAATCCATGTATAAAATAATCACTCAGACGCTTATATTACTTATAAACTGTATGGCTGTGGCAGGCTTCTTGCTAACTGTTCTTATATTTTAAATTAACCCATTTTTATAAATCTATACCTTGCTACGTGGCTGGTGGCTTACCGGCGTCTTTACATGTTGCTTGTCCTGGCGGTGGCTGTAGTTTCTCTCCCCCCTTCTTTCTGTTTCCCCAATTCTCCTCTCTCCTTGTTCCGCCTATACTTTCTGTCTGGTCATTGGCCATCAGTGTTTTATTTATATAGAGCGATATCCACAACAGAGAACAGTCACAAAGTACCCCAAACCAGCAGCAGAAAGGGAGTGATGAAGTTTAGGACATAAATTAATGCAATGGAGATGAAAAGACTATGAAGATCCAATGACACACAATTGTTTCTTTGAAATGATGAACAATCCTGACAAGCCATTAGGCAAACCAACCAATAGAAACAGGAAGAAACCAAATTCTTAAAACCAGAGATGGCGGAAAGTAACATTGTAATAGATACCAAGAAAATACAGGATGACCAGCAAATACTTTGGAATTCTAAATTGCTGACAATTGAGAAGAAATGCAAACCCCCTAGACCACAGGACCTACCAACATCAAGTCAAGACCATGAACAGAGTGACAGGGAGTGGAGAGGCTGGTGGGGTTAGTGAAGGGTCTCTCAGCAGGACAGCAGATCAGGGTAGACTCCAGTAAGCTGGGCTGAGATATATGGGGTGTGTCCAAAGGTCAGTCCTGACTGCTGGGGAAGCAACGGGTGCCAGGCCAAACCCAGGAGTCTAGAGGGCAAGCTCCAGGTTCAGATCTTGGGCCTCATGTTAAAGCTGTGAAATAAATGAGGCAAAATATCAGCCTAAAGAAGCCTGCAACTGTGTTTCAGTGAATGGGTGAGGATTTTAGTAATAGTTCTGGCATGCATTGTAAAAATTGCAATAAAATACTGGGAAAAATAGACAAAAAAAGAGTCAGCATTGGGAAGGACGGGACCAGGCTGAATCCATGCATAATCAACCAAACACTCAAATAAGGACTAGCACATGGACCTCATACTGTTACTTAAAAATAAAGTGGAGTGAAAATTGCTGATGACCTATGTTTGGTATTATTACCCTGGCATCAGAATCAGAGAAAAAAAAATAAGCAAATGAATAAACAATCAAAATTATAGATCAATTGTCCTGATGAACACAGACACAAAAATTCTCAGTAAAAATGCTTGCAAACACAACATAAATCGCTGGGCGGTGGTGGCGCACGCCTTTAATCCCAGCACTCGGGAGGCAGAGCCAGGAGGATCTTCGTGAGTTCGAGGTCAGCCTGGGCTACCAAGTGAGTTCCAGGAAAGGTGCAAAGTTACACAGAGAAACCCTGTCTCGAAAAAACAAAAATCAAAAACATAACATAAATCAACAAATGTAATACATCCCAAGATACCCAGAGACAGAATTCACCTGATCATCTCAACAGATGCAGCAGCCCTCTGTCAAAGTTCAACATCCCTCACGATAAAAGCCTCGAAGGAATGTACCTCAACACAATAAAGACTGTATTTGAACATCATTCCACAAAATGGGGAAAACTTGAGTGCATTTCCTCTATAGTCAGCAACCATCTTAGTTAACATAATCCTTGAGTTTAGACAGGATAATGTAGCAAGCCAGACATAAGGGCTTTTGGCAGGAGAGGAAGAGGGCAAATCATTTTGATTTGTAGACTAAGTAATCATCTTGAAAGATTCTTTTTATCCCAACAGAAACCTTTTAGATACAATAACATTTCCAGAAAGTGTCAGGACACAAAATCAACATAAAAACCAGTAGCTCCCTACAATAGTTCACCAAGAAAATGAACACGTTGAAAAAGAAATCAGAAAAACAATCCCATTCCAGTTGCCTCAATATCTTTTCAATGGGATGAGAGACATAAGAAGGAAATTGAACATGAAAGAAGATGGAAAGATACAGGAGAAACAGAGTAATTAGTTGGTGTTAAAAGGATCCACTAAACTTGCTCAGGAAATGGTGACTCACACAAAGTGGAACTAGCTAAAGGAGCACTCCCAGTTCTCCTATTAGTGTGATTCTGCTGGGCAGCAGGGAGGACCCTGGTTAACAGCTGGGCAGGAGGGAGGACCCTGGTTAACAGCTGGGCAGGAGGGAGGACCCTGGTTAACAGCTGGGCAGGAGGGAGGACCCTGGTTAACAGCTGGGCAGGAAAAACATCCCTGGTCTGTCTTGGGATGACGACGGCAATATTTTTCCATTGTAAATTTTATCCAAACAACCAAACTGAAATTTCCGTCTCTGTAAAACTCAAAGTATAACTTGGGGCCATGAAACCATATAAGCTGATGGGGGTTTCTGTTAGGGCTGGTTCATTTTGTGTGTCAGTCAGATCTAGCTGTGCATGATTATTAGAGGTTTTCCTTTATTGATCTCTAAGCTGTGGAGTGATTTCTCATTGGGAAGGCATATGAATTCTATAACAGAAAGCCCCCTTGTATTCCTGGTTGACAGTAATAATATTGTGAAAAGGGCTGTATTACAACAATAACAGTAAAAACATATAGATTTGATACAATCTCAATACAAATTTTAAGACGTTCTTCACAGAAACAGACAAAAGTTTAAAATGATGGGGAATTGGGAAAGACCCCAGAATAATAAAATCCTGAACAGAAAAGATGATGCCGAAGGTGTCACAAAACATGCCATAGAGCCATAGGAACAGAAAAAGCACCACATTGACAACGAAAAAGAAAGATAAAGCCATGGGAAGGGATGGGATGGGATGGGAAGGGATGGGATGGGATGGGATGGGATGGATGGGATGGGATGGGATGGGATGGGATGGGATGGGATGGGATGGGATGGGATGGGATGGGATGGAGGACCACAAGAAAACCCTCAGCTACTGCCGCCTGAGTGTTGACAAAGGTACCCAAAGCACACATGGGAGAAAGGAAGTTTTTTCAGTTAATGGTGCTGGAACAACTGGATTTCAACACAGAGGAAGGGAACTAGATGCCCATGTCTCACCCTGTACAACATGCAGTTAAAGCGAAGAGTTTCTGTAGAGTTACTGGGAGGCCTGGGACGTCTGAGTCAGCTTGACAACTCACTTTAGTTTATGTGTGTAGGTGCTTGGCCTGCATGTCTGTCTGTGCACCACTTGTGTGCCTGGTGCCTGTGAATGCCAGGATGCTGTGTCCCCTGGAACTGAAGTTACAAACAGTTGGGAGCTGCTGTGTGGGTGCTGGGACTTGAACCTGGGTCCACTGCAAGAGTAGCCAGTGATCTTAGTTGCTGAGCTGTCTCTCTCTGGGACAGAGCTCATTTCTTAAATAGTTACATATTACAGTATTTTGTGGACATAAAACTATAAATACATCCTTATTGATAAGCACACTCTGAACTAACAATTCTAGCACAAGTACCCATCCATACTTATGGATATATAAAATATTTATATAAACATTTTAATAATATGTCTTTGTGTTCACATTATATAATGACTATGTATTCACCTATTCGTGTTGCGTATGATATATAATAAATGTCCTTAACATATGGTTTTTATGTGTTTCCAAGCCATATCTTCCTGTCTCAGAAGGACCCTGCTCTAGAAATGAAGATTTTAGCTTCAAAGGATGACACCAAAGAAAATGTTGGTACACGCTCTACTCAATCAATCACCCTCAGTTGCTCTGCTCGGCAGTGTCGTTAAATAACAGTGAACTGGAAGGATCGTCACTGCACGTGAGTCAACCCGCACTGCTTAAAAAATACTTACCAATGTAATTGGATAAGTAGTATCAAATTACTTACATTCTTCTGATAACCGTGCAGAACCTGAATAGTCCTAGCAGAAGTGTAAAATTTGTTAATTGTGCATATTAGCCCGGATCAGGATTAATTTTAGGACAGAGTGATGATTGACTTTGAACTATTCCTACAATCTTACTTAGCAAGTTCATCTTCCTCCTCAGGAGGAAGCAGCTTCTCGGTCCTTCCACTTTTCCTTTTGACAATCAACCCGTTGTCATTATAGTCAGTGACCGTAAGACACGGGTTCTCCGAGACTCCCAATTCCGGACTCCACTGCTTCTTGCTCATTTCTTCAATGTTTGAAGTAAGCTGGAGGCAAGGATAAACGTTACTGTTCAAGAAAACTAACTTTTATTGTTCTCATCACTTGGCTCTTACCGCGTGATTTTAGTGCATAAAAAGATTTCTGGAGGGCTGGAGAGATGGCGCAGGGGTTGAGAGCGTTTACTGCTCTTGTGGAGGTCTTTGGTTCAGTTCCCAGCACCAACCCACATGGCAGCTCACAAAGTCTGTAACCCTAGTCCCAGGGCATCCATCACCCTCTTCTGTCCTCTGAGGGCACTACACACACCAAGTGCAATACAGGCAAAATATTTATAAAGTAAAAATAGACATCTTTTAAAAACACTTTTGCTTTGTTTAATTTTAGCATGAGAGATTTGAATACTTTGCGTGAATTCTGCTTTATTTCTGTTTGATCTAAAAAAGTGGAGTTCTATAAACTTCAAAAATGGGCGTTCTTAATTCTGGGTCTTTTTGCATTCACTCTCAGCCATCTAGCATTTTCACTGCCTGTTTGATGGAAGGAGAGGAGAAGACACGTCACCTTCAGGATTTGATGCTAAGGTTGCTCATGAGACAGTCAGAGAAATGAGTGTCTCCTCCATGCACGGCCATTCTCTCCCCCTTTAACCTTGACTTTTTTAAAACATTTTACAGGTCATCAAAAAAAAAAAAAAACAAAAAACTGAAGGTGCTCACTGAAAAGGAAGTGCCCAGTCTTGCTGCTGAGCAGTAGGTGACGCTGCTGAGCCAACTGTTTCACACTCTGGGAAGGAGATGCCTCCCAAACAGGACAGGCACCAACTATATTTCACAAGTGAGACAGACCCAACTCATTCCTGCTTTAGCTGCACCCATTCACTCAAAGCTCTTAGGGACCATTAGGTAGCATTTCACAACACCACAAGACACAATGCAATCCCGCAATGCTCGGTCAGATACGTGACCCAACAACTCCATTAGTCAGTTGAATTAAAGAGCTGTGAATTTGTGTGAGTCGTGGAGGAAGCCCTGAGTGAATGAAATCCTGAGTGGATTTGTGTTGTTGACACTGGTGAATGTGTTTTGTAGACACTGACATGCCATGTCCAGTGCCTCAGCCCCATGGGAGTGAAAAACCTTCCCTGGGTTAGGCTCAGAAGGACGGCAAAGCCTTCCTAAGGAATCTGTGTGTGAATGTTGACAGTATGCACACAAAATATCCTCCATAGCTTTCTCCCCCCTCTGAGGGCCTGGAGACTGCTCCCTACAGAGTCTGCTCCTACTGAGACAGCTAAACCTGCCTCCTTGGTCCAGCTGTGACCCCCACCCCTGGCTCCTTGTTTATCTGATGTCAGCTGTATGCAATAATCTCGCCTCCTTGTTCAGCTGTCCAGTGTAAATGCACTAAGCATCTAGTGCTCCGGCCTCTCCACCAAAGAGCCATCACCCGATCACAGCTTTCCCTGTCTGTCTTTTCTTCAGTCCCCTCCCTGTCCCACTCAGATCAACCTGGGAGCTGCAAATCTGCAAAATATTTTAATGTTTCCTTAGGAGGGGAAATGTCTCATCTACCTTTGTTTTTTCCCAATATATCTCTAGATTTTCATGAATCTTAACAATTCAATGTATCTCAGAACCTTTTCATCTGGATCAAATATATTTTTTGGTTGATGATGTATATTCTTATATACTATAAAAATCACCTGGTCTACAGAGCAAGATCCAGAAAAGGCACAAAGCTACACAGAGAAACCCTGTCTCAAAAAACAAAACAAAACAAAACAAAACAAAACAAAACAAAAACAAAAAAAACACACAAAACAACAACAACAACAACAAAAAATCACACATTCTGAAACTATCTTTACTAGGGAACATGACAAATGGGACACTTTAACAAAGACAGTTTTTTGGTTAATGCTAAACTGTGGAAGTGTATACACCTGCTCTCAAAGTTTTACCGAGTAGTTCTGTGGGAATTACAGCTTCCAACGGTCTGAACGGAAAATGTCTAGTTTGCACACAGCAAAGCTCAAAGACTGTGACTGTGTTGGTCTGAATTTGTCAGACTTAGAGACATTTTTATTTCTTCTTATTCACTGCTTAGTTCCCATCGATTGCTCAACCCGCCTCTTGGGTCCACCTGTCCACGTAATTTATGCTTTAGCCAAGGCAAGTCCATCTATCAAAAGCTGATAGTACCATACTCCTCTGTGTTTATCTTAAGTCAAAAGATCACATGACATGGAATAAATTTATTTTCTAGGTCATGTGCTACTGGGAAAGAAAGATTGAAATTGATTAGTGAAAAATCATCCTGAAAATATTTCCATTAACTTTTATTATTTAGACAGTAGAAACCATCTCTCCCTAGAAGCAGTTTCATACATGCATAATCCCACTGTTTAGGGAAACTTTTGTTTGGTTTGAGACACATGTATGTATCTCATATGTAGCCCTTGCTATCCTGGAATTTGCTATGTAGACCAGGCTGGCCTCATGCTCACAGAGATTGTCTACCTCTGTCTCCCATGTGCTGGGGTAAAAGGCATGGACTACCATGCCAATCTGTACGGAAGCTTTTCATCAGCAAAAATTAGTGAAATGGATTTTTGAAAACAAGAATAGCAGCATCTTTTTGAAAGTGGAATTTTCTTTCTTTTTCTTTTTTGAGACAGGATCTCACTGTGCAGCCTTGGCTGGCCTTGAACTCAGAGAAATCCATTTGCCACTGCAGCCGTCAGGCAATCCCTGGATTAGTTATATTATCTTATCAATGTCTTTAGTTGCAGAAACACTGTGATTAAAATTATTATGTTATGTATATGGGTATTATATATATTTATTCCTTGCATGTGTGTCTATGTACCACATGCCTGGCAACCAAGCAGGCCAGAAGAGGGTGTTAGATCCTCAAGATGTGGGTGCTGGGAATTGAACCTTCATCCTCTAAAAAAACAGCCAGTGCTCTTAACCGAGCCATCTCTACAGCCTCTGTGTTTTGTTTAATTTCAGCCACAGAATTTATTTCTTTGAAGTATGTAAGCCCCTGTGCCCTTTAGTTTACTAGGCTTGGGCTCTGTCCAATAGCTAATTTCCAGTTCCTACCTTTAGCATGTCAGTATCAAGCATGTTACTTCCTTACATTTCAGTTCTAACACTTCCGGGGACTTTATAATCTTGTCTTCAGAATCACAAGCAAACCCTTGTTTGTGTGCAAACTGTGATTGCCTTAATCACTCAGCAAACGCACAGGATGGCTGGCAAGCACATGCTTGGACCAAGAGCGTAGAAGAGATGGAGAACATGCTTAGTGTTCCTTTTCTCACGTTTGGGGAAGTCCATGTGACCTCAGACATGCACTCCAGACATACCTTTACTTTACCCTCACATCAGGCAGATTACTTGCTGAGGTTACAGGTAATTACCTTGAACTGAGTTCTTCCCCCATAGCTACCCAGGAGTGGTTCTTTGTCAGGACAGATGTTTGCAGACACATCCCCAACTGTGTGCTGTAACTCACGGCTGCATCTGTGTGGCTCTCGATTACTCCCTGTTACATCCCGAGCGAGAGACATTTTCTCATGTGCTCTCGCTGAAGGAACTTCTGGATGTACAGGTGCACACTCTCCATCACACTTCTTGTTTATTTCGGGGTCTTCAGACATTTTCTGCAGATGCAAAGGTGGAGGGTACCTGTGTTTGCTTTCCTTCTGAGACTGAGGGTTTGTTGGCCTGGCTGGATCTGCAAATGTGTTTTGTGTTTGGGGGCATGTCTTTGAAAGGCCTTTATCCTTCAGGAGCCACAGGATATAGATGAAAAAATAGTTAGAAATAAATTTATATTTTGCATTTAAATTTCTTAATATATGTTTAGATGTCAGAAATCACTTGGGTAGTAATTTTTTTAAAAAGTTGTAGCTGGAGTTTTTTTCCAGTCCTGCCCAGGCTCGCAGCCACTCAGACCCAGATAAGTACACAGAGGTTTATATTAATTAAAACTGTATGGCCTAATGGCTCAGGCTTCTTGCTAGCTAGATCTTACATCTTAAATTAACCCATTTCCATAAATCTATACCTTGTCATGTGGCTCATGGCTTACTGGTATCTTTACATCTTGCTGCCTCTGTGTCTGGCTGGTGACTCCTGACTCAGCCTTCCTGTTCCCAGAATTCTCCTCTCTCTTTGTCCTGCCTATACTTCCTGCCTGGCTACTGGCCAATCAGCACTTTATTTATTAACCAATCAGAGCAACACATTCATAGCATACAGAGTGATATCCACAGCAAAAAGTAATTAAAAAATAATTGACTTAACCAATATGAACTGGAAAAGTCAGGTTAGTCACTGTTGTTTGGACAAAACAATGAATTATGAGTTAATTATTATAATTAAAAATAATTATGAGTTAATTATTAATTAATCCTCTCTGTGTTAATTTACCAAAGATGAATTACTTATTTTTAACATTACAAATTTGCCCTTATGTAAAAATATTTGACCTCACTGGGCCTCAAAAAGTGAGCCATGCCTGTGAGTTTCATCCATTATCTGTGAAGACCTAGGGAGACTGAAACTATTAAAAGACAAATCCAAAGCTTTACATCACCAACAGCCAGAGCACTAACACCAGGCAGACAAAAATTAATTGCTAAGTTGTAATTTAAATCGCATAGCAACCCACTTGTCCATCTACGTGGATTCTGGATATTAAGGTTTAATGTACTCTAACACCCACAGAAGACAGCGGGTCACACAGCATCAACCTCGTTCTAAATATCTATGCTACCCTTGGGCAAAGCACTCTTAGCCTTGGTCAGAGGGGCCTGTCCTCACAAGGAACAGTGGTGGATACAAAGGTTTCCCAAGATGGTGAATGTGAGTGAGTGCTGAGTGCTCAGCCTTCAACAAGGCACTCATAATGCCCCCTTCAAGGCTCAGAGGACACCGTGAAAAAAGGGGCAGACGGAATGTAAGACTGACATACAGGGTGACGACTATGAAGTGTCACCCAAGACTCAACACAACCAATGCAATCAGTAACTTGCAACAGCTGGGCTGCCTGCATTGGGTTCACACAAGACTGGCCTGTCAATAATCAGTCATGAAGGGGGAGGGACTCAGGGCATCCACCTTTTACTGCTAACTATTGGGAAAAGGGAAATTGTGGTTTTCAGTTGTGAACCCACAGCTAAGCCCATGGGGAATCAACAGTAGCTCAGGAAACATGGTCAAGCAGAGGTCCCTTGTAAAACTCAGTGGGTCACAAAACAACATGACTAGACATGGATGTGAGAGATTTTTGGGAATGGAGGTAGACTGGTGGTGGTGGGGGGGGGTTAGGGGCAATGTGCATTTTGAACATGCAGGAAATGTTCTAAGAACAGATTTAATTAATAAAAAGCTCTGTAGCATGTATCAGTTCACAACAGTGAAATTGAACCACACAGAAAGTGACTGTTTTTACAGTTCATACACTTGACTACAGTTGAGGTTTCTCCCAGCAGGCATGGGCTTATCTTTATGCCTACTATCTCCTTCAATACAGATGCTGAAGGCAATTATTGACTAAGGGACAGTATTAACTCTTTGAACTTCCCACTAGCCATTGCAGATATGAATCAGTGAGTTTAAGCCACTGGGCCTGATCTCTGACAGTGAACATCACTGTTAGGTGTGTGCTACACAGGTCTACAAGGTCCTACACAGGTCCACACAGGTCTACACAGGTCCACACAG